GTGGAGGAGGATGACGCAGAACCGGGGGAGTTGGACATCATGAAAGAAGAATCCCCTGAAGAAGAAAGATTTCATCAAGAACTACAAGATTCCCTGGAAAAGGTCCCGGTGAAACATGTGGTGCGTGTGGAACCCATAGCATCCCGCGCAAAGGAGGAGGTGGTTGTGGCTATGCAGAAGGCATTGGCTAACCTCAAGGCCATGGGCATCTATGTCAACCGCTTGCACTCGGACCGCGCCAAGGAGTTGATTTCTCGGTCTATGGCCGCTTGGTGTGCGAAAAATGGGATTGTTCCTACGACTACAGCAGGGGATGACCCAGCCTCAAATGGACATGCTGAGTCAGAGGTGCGCCAAATCAAAAGAAGAGTTCGCTTCAAGCTAGCCGAACACGGTTGTGAGGTGGGGTCGTGGCCAGACGCGATCCGCTATGTGGCGGCAGAACGACGTCGTCAACAGTTGGAAAACTTGGGGGTGCCTTGCCTTCCTACGCTACCTTATCGGGGGAAGGTATTTAGAAATGGCACAAAGATGGAGGACTCGTTGCACCATTTGTCGAGGCCCTCGTCCTAGTCACTTGGTCAATGGGGGTTGGGTGGTACAACTACAAGATGGTCGGGTTCTTCATGTTAGGGGGACACTATGGCGGTGGTCGCTGCTCCTGGTCCATCATCAGCGGGGGCGGAGTATTCTTCGTCGTCTTCACCCTGAGGCCAAAAGCTTCGACGTCGAGATTATGGGAAGATGCGCCTGAAAATTTCCCCAAGTCCTCAACTTTGGCCTCGGCAAGGGGTGTCAAGACTATGACAGTGGGGGTTCCCGCTGAAAGGTGGCTGCCCATGGAACTTGTGAAGGAGACGTGGGAATGGCATCATATGAAACTACAAGAACAATTGTCCAATTTGGTGAGAATGTAGTGGTCGTTAATGGTGGAGGTGGCCGGTTCAAGAAGCAGTGTGCGGAGGTGAGCACAGGCACAAGGTAGATCGTTGGCCTGTGGCGGAGTGTGCGGATGGTGTTCCCCGAAATGCATCTCAAGGTGCTCAACAAGGACATGAGGTGGAATTGTTTGTGGGATGGCGGGATGAGCTGGAGGACAACTTGATTCAGTTGCGACGAGCGGAAAGGGACACTCGAATCCATCTATGTAGCCTCCAGGTGTCAGAGCCGGATGTCCTCCAAACAGTGACGGTACCTCTTCATGAAGTTCGAGCGCATCCTCAAGAATGGGTACCGGCCTTTCAGTATGAGTACGATGTACTTGTGAAGGATACGGACCGGAGGCGTGGCTCGTGAGCTGCTCCCTCCGGACACGGAATTGGTGCCAGGAAAGACGGTTTGTGTGAAGAAAGGAGGGACAGGGGCACATCGGGCTCGGGCGGTGTTCTGTGCCAACATGGCATCAGAGACCGCTGACCCTTCACCTGGACCGGCGGGAAGTTACGCCAGTGGAGCTGATGGTACATTGATTCGCTGTGCAGTACGCCAAGCGGCTCACGAAGGATGGTTGATGTCGGCTCTGGATGTGAAGAGCGCCTTCAATCCTGCAGGCCCCGAGACCTACTCCACCGGGAGCCAATCCCGTGGCGGCGGTTCCGCCCAAGATTATGTCGCAACTGGGCATATGTCCGGAGAACGAAGTTTGGATCGTTCGCAAGGCTTCGTGCGGCTTTCAAACATCTCCGAGCTTTTGGGCACTTCACAGGGACACCATGTTCGCCAAGTTTGAATGGATGGTGGATGGGGTTCAGTACAAGCTACAGCCCACAAAGGAAAGAAACCTGTGGAGGGTTCTGAAAATGGGATGTCCTACACCGGTGGGTATGATGTTGGTCTATGTGGACGACCTATTGGTTATGGGCGCTAAGTCTGTTCATGATGGGCTGGTGGCATTCAAGAGGAATGGAAAACCTCAAAACCAGAGTTGGTGAACTCGGAAGATTGGGTCCGCTTTTGCGGCTTTGAGATGAAGTACCATGGAGAGGAACTCTTGGTGGGACAACCTTCATATCTACAAGATCTACTCCGTCGACGGAAGATCACGGCCAAAAGGTCAACACCGCCGCCGAAGGAACATGCTCACATTGTGGAGGAGGAAGACAACATCAAGATAGAAGAAATCCGCCAGGCGCAGGCCATTGCTGGAGAAATTTTGTGGGTGGCTGTACGCAGCCGTCCGGACCTTGCTTTTGCTATTGGAGCACTGGGGAGAGCAGTGACAAAAAGACCACGTTGGGCATTGCAGGCAGGATACTACCTGAACGCCGCTGACGAGTGCTTCCTGGCCTACGGAAGATGCAAGGAGAAGGACCGTGGCCCCGATGAGGCCTTGGCTCGAGAAAGGCATGAACCTGGTGGGGATCTACTGTGATGTTTCTTACGCTCCTCAAGGGGGAAAAAAGTGTTCAAGGCATCGTGGCCATGATTGGTGGAGGAGTGACAGCCTACAGGCCTTGATGACAGTGTTGGGGGTGGAAGAGCCGCCAGCGGTGATCACCTATGGAGACAGCCAAGCGGCAATTGCCATCGTTCGACAACCTGATGGTCAATGGCGAACACGCCACTTGCGCCTTCGTTCCTATGCTTTGAGGGAACGATCACGCTTGGGAACCTGGCAGATTTACCACCTTGAGGGAACAAGGCTGATCGCCGACTTTCTCACAAAGGCGATTGTTCCTAGTCAAAGACCGGGTAGTTGCGAGTTGAATCGCAAGGGGGAGCGCGGAACAGTTCGCATAGCTTCCAAAGCGTTGAAAACATGGCGAGACCGCCGTAACACGTTGGCTCAAGAAAACACACGCCCACACGCAGCGCGACTTCCATGGAATCAATTCCATTTTCGCCCGACTGGATTGGCGTAGCTGGATTCTAGACACACTATTTTGACCAACCACTCTCCTAGCAGGTTTGTACACTGATTATGCAACTGACTTGATGTGCATCAACCGACACACACACACATATACTTTCTTGTATTCTTTCCTGTCGGCATGGCGGCGCGCTGTGACCTTCTTGTTGCAAATTGCAAGTCCTGGAACGAACGCACCCAAATGGGAATTGCACAAAGTTGAGCCACATCGACATCCATCGAGTTGACGGATACTTGGCACTTAGGGTCAATGCGCCGATCTCGCTGCCGGACAACCTTGCAAGCTGCATGCGCCTGCTCTTGACCATGGGTGCGGTGAAGCGTGAAGCGTGTGGACATTGCCAGACAGAACTTGAATCCCTGGCATTGATCCACGATCCGTTTTCTTGACATCGCCGTGCAAGAGCAGGTTGCGTGTTCTTTAGACGCACTGGCAACAAGGTCCATGCAGAAGCGACGCAGTCCACTTGATCAGACCTGGCAGGACCGCGCCAACCCTCATGTAAATTTTTTGAAGTGACTTCATTGAACGGGCTGCTGCTTGAAGCCCATGACCTTCATCGTATCGTTGGCCTGTCATGCATGTGTGCGGGGGCCCGATGTTGCTCATAAAGTTTGGCCTTTCTGTCACTTACCATGGCCAGGTGGCAGTCAATCAGCAACTCTTGGGTGCCATGGAGCTTCATGGTTATGGTGACGACTGGCTCTGAGGCAGACGCCCCGCAATGAATCTTGGCAGACGTGGCTGGGCAAGATGCAGATGCCCTTTAGTCGCCACCGTCAGCTGACAATGTGTTTTCGTTCAAGTACTGCAGGAAATTTGTTGGGCGTGAAACTCTTTCCAGTTACAAGACACTTGGTGCAATGAGCCTTCATTCTTTCATTTTTGTTTTCACCTTCCTCCGATTTGCCAAAATCAAGCGCGCTCCTTCTCTCAGCTGTTCTGTGCTCCATGCGGTGCCGTGCCAGAGCGCGCTGGTGCGGTTCCGCGGGCAAAAGCCCTTGGGCGCTGTCGTCGCAGCCCCTTCACGCGTGTGGGGTTGGTCGCCGTGGGCTTCGCGTTGTAAACCCAGGCATCGTGAGTGCAGCGGCAGCGGCCTGATTCAACATGTGTTTTGCCAGTTTGCTGCGCAACAGTCCTGCCGTCCCACCAGTTTATTCGTGCATCTGACAGCGGCGCCCAACAAAATTGTTGTGGGATGACTCGAAGTATATAACTAGTCGTAGTTTTTCCATCGTGCACTCGGACATTTTGGGAAAGGCTCAGCAAACGAATGCTTCGTTGAGCCCAGGATACAGATGCCTGCCTCCATGCGAAAGTTGGCATGTTTGCCCAGCGATTGCAAGCGCGTCAAACGCGCAGGACGTTTGAAGTAGGGCGTGGACAGGAGTTGGATGCAGTGGGGCCGGGGCATGTTACTGTCAAATTCCGCGTGGCCGTCGGACGCCGACCCCACGGCCAGGTTTAGACCCTTCTCTTCGCGGGCCACGTCAACAAGTGAGCAGACCCAAAGGAGACGCCAAGAAACATTGGAACCAAATTTGGCTGCCGGCTTCGAGTCCCAGCGAGGGAGGGAAAACTATTTTTGTGTGCCAGACAGGATGCTCGAGAAGCAGAGGGCAGGCTGTTGTTGGGGTTGCGTCTAGTGAGTCTAGTGTGTGACCAAGTGGTAAATGACATTTTGCTGGAATGAAAGGAGGTAAAGAAAACCTGCAAAAGTAAAGTGGTTGACGTGACCAACGGAACGGCGTTCAGGCAACGCAGCCTCTTTTGGACGAGAGGCAAGCATTGGGCGCAGCAGTGATGCCACTCTTTACTGATTTGGCTGGGCATTGAGAGCCACAAGAACTCTGAAAAAAACACTTTCAGGTTTTAGGTTCAGTTTACCTGGGTCCGGTGTAGTCTGCGAGACAACAGCAGATAGTCGACTTGACAGGCGCCAAAACCAGAGACTGACGAAATAGCCTGACGCCCAACGTTTTGCCCGCTGAGTCTTGCTATGTTAGTCTTGCAGACTGAGAGAGGACAGCGTCAATAGTATCATCTATCCGAACTGTTTGCTTTGCTCAATCAGATCCGATATCGAACATCTCATCGGCCCGATCGGCTTGGCTGCCAGAAAACCCTCTGATGACGCAGCCTTCAGCGTCGTCGAAGTATTTGGCCGAGTTCATTGGAACCTTTCTGCTGATCTTCACTGTGGAGTGCAACGTTTTGGTGGCTTTGAGCAGCAACCCTAGGGTTGAAATTTAGATAGTATAGTGTTTAAATGCGACTAGGTTTGTGCTGTGTACATACGACAAGTTTCGTGCTGTGTTCTCATTTTTGTTTTGACCTGTGGTGGTCTGGAGCTGCGCTCGTCTCATCCGATTAAACTGACGCAGGAATTGCGCTCTGAGCGTTCTGAATTGTCGAGATGAATGAAGTGGGATTTGTTGGCCCCACGGCCATGGCAGGTACATGTCACAGAGCAGCCCAGCAGACCCCCAAAGCGAAACCCACCAAGAGTCACCACGGATACCTACCGATTGGAGCGCGTCGCCGGTTTCTGCAAACCATGGGGTATCTTCAGCGCAAGCATGTGTGTGTATGTTTGTAATGAATGTAATGTAATGTTATGTTATGTTATGTTATGTGATGTATGTATGTAAACTTACAACTTCCAAAAGATGTCAACTCCTTGAGGCGGGATTGAAATCTGGACACCCGGAAATGTACATCGAGAGGGGGTACGCCCCCCTTGAAGATAGATATAGATACATATTTTTAATTGTGCCCGAGTGTGCATGCATACATACATACATACATACATACATACATACATACATACATACAT